ATGACAAGCAAAGGCAATGGTAAATCCAGATTCACTGAACAAGAGTGTTACTAACTTAACAGCAATGATTCACTTAACAACTATGGCAGGAAAGGTCGTAAAATGAGGCAAAACTCACTTAACAACTATCTCACTTAGCAACATAAATTTTGGGCTCAATAGTGGCCATAAATCAAGGAGTGCCTGTATTTCCTGTAAAGCTGGGCATGGATTAATTTTTCATTACATTCTTAACGTACTTTCCAAACCAGCGTTTTCTCTCTTTAAAGCAATTTTGCTTCTGAAACCACTTTCAATGCCCATTAGAACCGTGCAAGAGTCTGGTTAGGATTTACACTTGGAATATGGCTCTAGGACAAATTAACGTCTCTTTTCTGGTACCAAGAACTGGTCCTGAAGATATATACACATCACCTCATTTTGTGCTGAAATTTCCCAAAATAGAAAATGGCAAAAACCCCAAGGGATCAACAGAAGAGGTAAATGCATATTCTACTCAAATAGCATACTTAATCCATTTCATTTCTGTTTGAACGTTCCAAAATGTTGACAAATCCTGTCGTGTTTGAATTCCTTTATGCCATATTATTTGTAATAGAGATTGTGTGTGTGTGTGTGTGCGCGCATGAAATTCATGTGCATATTTATTTGTGCTATAGTTCAATTCTTTGAATTCTGGTCACACATAACTAACTGGAAGTAATTTTCATTGAATTCTACTTGTCCATAGGCATGAATGAAAGTGCATGTATTATTCAGTTCAGCTAGATAAAGTGGATAATTAACTCTCAATTAAACAAGGAATCATTTTATCAATCGATGGTTTTTCAATAAAAATAATATTTTTTAACAGAAGTGTTATCATTGCTGTATGTCAGGATCATATTAGCTACTAATTAACTTCTAGGTATTTAGCATTAAATGTTTAATCCAGAGGATTATGAAAAGAGTAAGGGCAAGGGAAAAAAAGAAGTTCACGCAAACACAACTAAGCTTTGCCTTTTAATCAGGATAGTACATTCTGTGGACTGAAAATGTTCGAAAACTCTGGCTTAATCCATCAAAGCAAAATGAAATTGATGTGCCAATTTTAAGATGTTTTAAACTTCTGAATGGACAAGTTCAGAGTGCTGCTTTGAACCAGTAGAAGGATAATTGGCAGTGGACAAGGGTTTTGGTTGAAAAGTTACCGACGAGGTTTCTAGATTGGGCCGTGCAGTTAGTCTAATTTTAACACTCATTTAGAGGTAGAATCTCTCTTTGTGTGTGTGTGTGTGTGTGTGTGTGTGTGCACGCACAAACAATATATGTGTGGGTGCATCGGGTGGGTTCTACTTACCTTTGCTACCGGTTCACAACAGGGCCGCGAGCGAGCAAAGCGAGCACGATCTTCTGCACATGCACAGAAGCGTTTTGATGACGTCGGGGTCAGGCGGAACCTCCCACCAGTTTTACTACCGGTTCTATAGAACCAGTGTGAACCGGGGGCAACCCACCACTGGGGTGCATACACAAACACACACACACACACACACACACACACACACACACACACACATGCATTATGTTACTTAGTTGGGTTATGAAACATCTATAAGCAAACAACCAACTTGAGAGATAGTGTTCATTTTTTTTTTTAGTTTTTGAGAAGATATTATGTTTTAGAGATACATAACTATGTTGGGGATTGGTGTACTATACTTCCCCACAAAAGAGGGCTCTAGTCCACTACTTAATAAAAGGAAATTTAACCCTAGTCTTCAATTATTTTTTTAAAATTGCCAATTAGAAAACATTGTTTCAAAGTTTGTAAAGTATCTTGCCAGTCCAACATATATACCATGCAGATCATTAAAACAGGATGCTTTTTAAATTAAAAATTATACTCTGCTCTATTGCACCCATGCCACTCAAAAGCAGTTTGCAGAAAGCAATGTTATTTTAGTAAATACATGAGATATATTGTTGTGATCCAGCAGTACCTGGATGAAGCTGTCTATCTAGATCCGTACCAGTCGGGCTTCAGGGCGGGGTACAGCATGGAAACGGCATTGGTCGCATTGGTTGATGATCTCTGGAGGGCTCAGGACAGGGGTTGTTCCTCTGTCCTGGTCGTATTAGACCTCTCAGCGGCTTTTGATACTATCGACCATGGTATCATGCTGCACCGATTGGAGGGGTTGGGAGTGTGGGGCACCGTGTTGCGGTGGTTCTCCTCCTTCCTCTCTGACCGTATGTAGTTTGTGTTGGGGACAGAGGTCGACCTCGAGGTGCCTTGTTTGTGGGGTGCTGCAAGGGTCGGTCCTCTCGCCCCTTCTGTTCAACATTTATGTGAAGCCGCAGGGTGAGATCATCCGTGGTTTTGGGGTGAAGTTCCATCAGTACGCTGATGATACTCAGCTGTACATTTCCACCTCGGACCACCCCAATGATGCCCTTGACATGATGTCCCGGCGCCTGGAGGCCATGCGGATCTGGATGGGGAGAAACAAGCTCAGACTCAACCCTTCCAAGACCGAGTGGCTGTGGCTTCTGGCGTCCCGATATAGCCAGCTAGCTCCATCGCTGACTATTGGGGGCGAGATCTTGGTCCCCTCAGAGAGGGCTCACAACTTGGGTGTTCTCCTGGATGTGCAGCTGTCTTTAGAAGACCATATGACGGCTGTGGCCAGGGGAGCGTTTTATCAGGTTCGCCTGATTCACCAGTTGCGTCCCTTTCTGGACCGGGCCGCCTTGCGCACGGTCACTCATGCCCTCGTCACGTCCTGTCTGGACTACTGTAATGCTCTCTACATGGGGCTCCCCTTGAAGAGCACTAGGAGGCTCCAACTGGTCCAGAATACGGCCGTGTGGGTGATTATGGGGGCGACACAGTGCACCCATGTAACACCTCTCCTACGCGAGTTGCACTGGTTCCCGGTGGTCTTCCGGGTGCGATTCAAGGTGTTGGTTACCACCTTTAAAGTGCTCCATGGCTTAGGACCTGGGTTTGTACGAGATCGCCTTCTGCCACCAATAGCCTCCCACCGGCCAATATGCTCCCACAGAGAGGGACTCCTCAGGGTGCCATCGGCCAAACAATGTTGACTGGTGACACCCAGGGGGAGAGCCTTCTCTGGGGGCACCTGCCCTCTGGAATGAACTGCCCCTGGAGATTCGCATGACCTCCGACCTCCATACTTTTCACCGTGCCCTTAAGACTCTTTTGTTCCAATAGGCCGGGCTGGCTTAGCAAATGAATTTTAAATCGGGTGTTGTAGTTTTTTAACATAAGGGCCAAATTTTATATATAGAGAGAGATTTTAAATTGTTTTTAATTTTTTGGGTATATGTTTGTTTTAATATGGTGTACACCTTCCTGAGTCCTTCGGGAGAAGGGCGGTATAGAAATTTAATAAACTAACTAAACTAACTAACTAACTGTTGGATCCAGGTTTAAAAACAGTGGCAGGAACTGGTGTTCCTTCAAAATGTCTGCGTCTCTCACTGTTGACTACATTAACTAGGGAAACAGTAGGTTTTTTACTCATTGAAAAATGAAACTTCAAATATATAGTCTTCCACTCTACTTGATCAGTTTATTGTGGTTTAAAATGATTTTTTTTTCACTCATGGAATTGAGTTTCAAAGCCCTGAAAATGGAGTGGTTGTCAGTGCTGTTAAATTATAAACAAGTGAAAAAAAAGATGTTTCTTTTGGCATGATCAATATTTTCTGATAGCTTCCAAGAAATTAAAACACATGCTGGTAAGCATGTTTATCCCCAATATCCAAAATCTGGTTTTCAAGACTGAAATATTGAGCCTAGAATATTAGAGCATATTCTTTTGAAAAAAAGAAGCTTCATTTGCATTTCTTCCTGCTGTGAAACATTTCTTTTGAAAGATTATCATGGCTCAAATAAATACATTTTAATTTTGGCTTGGTTGCATGGCCTTTTCCAATCCTTCAGATTTTTGATAATTCCATATATTATTTTCTTATCCTCATCTCGTAACTCCCACAATTGTTTTGTGCAGTTGATGGATCAAGTTAATGTAGGAAAGACAGAAAAATGCAAATTTTAAGATTAAATTTGAATTAATTAAAGTTACTGCCTCAATTTAAGAGCATTGATTCACACGGTCCTTTCAGACATTGCATAAATAGTCTTAGTAGTCCAAGTAAATCTTTTCATTCTGTTGAGTAATGATGAGATCAGATGTATTTTAAACATTTTGTACAACTTGGGCAGTTTTAATGGAAAGTCAAGTATAACTATAATAAAAAATAAATATTAGATGTTCTCTCAGAGCATAAGAGCTGAATTTAATTCAAATATGAGGCAAAAAAAGCAAAGTTTACACTGGTGGTTTTGTGCAACTTACTTTGAAAAACCTAACAAATAGATAATTTATCCAGCTGTTAATATTCTTCTTTCTTGGTACATTCTAGTTATATTAGAACATTCTTGGTACATTCTCACTATATTACATAAGCATTTCACTTACTATCTCCAGTAAAACAAAACTAAATATTTCAGTCATTCAATCAAAAAATTAACATACAATAGAGATGGGAGGGGGGGGAAAAGTCAGGCTTGGGATTACAGGTATCCTCAATTTATGACCAGTTGTTAACAAATATTGCCCCATTTTATGACCTTTCTTGCCACAGTTGTTAAGTGAATCAATGCAGTTAAGTTTGTAACACAGTTGTTAAGTGAATCTGGCTTCCCCATTGACTTTGCTTTTCAGAAAGTCACAAAAGGGGATTGCATGATCCCAGGACACTGTAACCATCACAAATGTGAGTCAAGCATCTGAATTTTGATCACCATGACCATGGGGGATGCTGCAGTGCGAAAAAAGGTCATAAGTCACTTTTTCAGTGCCATTGTAACTTCGAACGGTCACTAAATGAACTGTTTTAAGGCGAGAAATACCTATACTTTGAGCATGGTATGTACAAATAAACGAACAAATAAAATAAACTTTACAATTCCATCTCATTTCTCACAGGCAGGCATGGCCTCCCCAGAGATTCCTGAACAATTGATAATTGCCTTGGAACCAGAAGCTGCATCAATTTATTGCAGGAAGCTCCGCCTTCATCAGATGATAGACCTAAGCAGTAGAGCGCCTGTCAATGGCTACACTCCCAGTGAACCTATTGCCTCAGGTTTTACACCAGGTACCACTCTTTTAATCAGACTTTGATTTGATGATGCACTTAATTCCTGCAGCCCACCTGTTTTCTTATGGAAGTGTCTCTGTAGGTTGGTCTGAGTTTGATAATGGGGAAAACAAGAGACAGTCCCTTGCTTATGAACTTTCTCTTGGGGGATTTTGGAATTTGCATGCCAACCTATGTGGAGGTTCCAGATTTGTTTGTACCACTCCAATGAAAATGTGAACTGTGAACCGGGGACCTTTTCTTTATTGACTAGGATACAAAATGGGGAGAGGGGGGAAGGTCTGTCTTGCCTGCCCACCAGCACTGGTATCAGACCCCTTTGTCAGGATGAGGGATCCTTGCGGGAAGCTGACCTCGGAAAGGACGGGCAGAGACCCCGCTGTGCACCCATCTCCATCTCCACCGGGGCTGGTGCCCAGCCGGGTAATGGGGGGCGGGGGCGGGAAGGAATGTGGGTGCTGAAGGGCACCGCCTCTTGTTTTGGGGAGGGGCGCCGAAGGCGTCTTTCTGGAGGAAAATTCTGGGCACTTCCAGGGGTCACAAATCATGTGTGCCCAGAGCCTTCAAATAATTTTTGAGTTCTGGGTTGGTTTTATTTTTCTTCTTCTGTATTTGACAAAAAACAAAACAAAAACTGGCTGTGCAACTCAAAACACTGCAGCTCTGAGAGACATAGAACAAATTAAGGAACAGATATCAAATGAATATAAACAATTCTAACTAAAATTTAGTAAGCAATAGTGAACAGTGAACAGAAGGCAATTTTCCCACCAGGATATCCTGTTTGTTTTGTGGGCCTGTAGTCATTGCTGAAGATAAAAAACAATACAATATACTCTTCTTTTGTTTTGCAGCAAGCCTGTTTCCTTTGAGTTTTTTTTCAAATGAAAATAATCTTTAAGAAATATAATGGGAAAGGGAGACTTATGAGTACAAAGAGAGTGCCTAAAGACATTTTGGTGTATTTCTCCTCTACAGATCTGCAAAACTTAACGAGACAAATGATCTGCCTTAATGTCAGACAGATTTCTCTTATTCACAGTTATTTATGAATTAATAGCCTAACTGATAACAAAATACTGCAAAAGTACTTTCAGCAGATTTTGGTTTGCTTAATCTTTATTATATGTTTATGGGAAGCTTGCAGTAAAAGGTTTGGTTTATATAGAATTAAAAGCCTTCAACCACCACAGATGTCTACTTTGAGTCAATTTGTTGAAAGAATTACACCAAGAGCTACACCACTTTGGGGGGCATAGCTTTGATTATCAATGTATTAGTTCTAATTCATAACCGAATGATGTCTAACCCACTTCCCAGCATCTGCTTTCTGCTCCATATACATACAGCTTTGCTTTTGCTCTTGCTCTTTTATACTCAGTCATTTTCTCTCTCTGTCGCCACTAGCAAAAGAACATATTCGACGAAATCGACAGAGCCGCACATTTTTGGTTGAAAACGTCATAGGAGAAATCTGGTCCGAACTGGAGGAAGGTAGTGTCCATTCTGTTGATCTCGCTGGTTTTGCATTGCCAGCAGAATTGGGTTCTGAACAAAACTTCTGTTGTTCCTCACTGCATTAGTTCCATATCCATCCACTGCTTCCCACCATGTGGACTTGTTCTCAACACCAGATAGGTATTGGCTAAAGAATTGTAGAGTTTGGAAGTTATCCCTCCGAAGGGTTGCCCAGGTTTGCCTCTGTAATTTATATAAGGAGGTGCTGCTTTTAAAGATTGCCCTAAATTGTCAGCTGGTCTAAGACTGTGCAAGATTGTTAGCAACTTGCCTAATACAAGTCATATCATGACAGGGTTTTAATTTTTCAGTGGCTTTTAGTCAGCTTACATACACAATTCAGCATGCTTTTATTAAAGTCTTTTGCCCCACTTAAATTAATTGAGTCGTATGGTTTTCAGAAAGAGGATTTTTTTGGGTGACTGTATTTTAAAAATATTTCACCACCATCTAAAAGTATTTGTAATTTTGTTGATCTATGCATTGCTTAGAAGATTTGGACTGAACCAGACTGCAAATTCTTTAAATAAGTTATTTGCTGCTCACGCAGGATAACAACAGTGAGGCAATAGAAATTAGTTGCAGTGTTGTGTGACTCATTCAATAACTATTTATTTATATATTTATAAATATATTATAAATTTAGAAACCACTCATCTCCCTCACAGAGGGACTCTGGGTAGTGAGTGGTGTACAAGTGAAATATAAAAACATAAAAAATGTATATAAATATTATATTAGGAGGCAAGGATAGTTAAATTCAAAGTTAAAAAGGCCAGAGAAAGGAAGGTCTTCAAGAGGCCAACCAGCCCCATGGCTGCCTGTTACTTTGGGAGCCACAAGCAAGTTGGCAGAGCCAGGCTTGAGACATTTCCGAAAGGCCAGGAAAGTGGGGGTCCACCGCATCTGTTGGGGGGGGGGTCAGAATGTTCCAAAGGGCAGGGGCAATGACAGACAAGGATCTCTACCTGGATCCTGCCAGTCACAATTCTTTAGCTGATAGGTCCACAACTTCTTTCTAGATAGTGTCCACATTAAAAGGTTTCATATTTTGTAGTCACATTCGATTGTTAACACTGGTTGTGGCAAAAACCTTGAACCAAGATAGTGTTTCAAGAACTTTTAGCTGATGGGCTCCCCAACATACCGTCTCTGCCTGATAAGCTGGGATGGGCCATTATAATGGGACAAAGATGGTTCAAGTAACCTGGCTTCTTACCATGTAGGGTTTAAAGATCACCTTGAATTGCACCTGGAAACACCTGGAATTTAATGCAGCAGAGGTGTTACATGTGCTTTCATTGGGCGCTCAAGATTGCTTGTGTGACCTAATTTTGTACCAGCTGAAGCTTCCAGATACTCTTCAAGGATAGCCCCACGTAAAATGCATTGCAATAGTCCAAACAAGAGATGAACAATTGCAGAGTTGTTTAAAAGCATAATGAAAGCACAATGCTTTGGGGTGAAGGAACCACTATAAACCTATTTATCTTTATTAACTCACAGTATAAATAAGTCATTCTAGTTATCACTCTGTACATGGTTCAAGCATCAAGTGCCTAAATGTGCTGCATTCCTAATTTGCTCTCCATTTTCAAATCAGTAGCAAACTAGCTCATACAGTGAAATATATTTGTAGCTTTTGGCATAAGCTTCAGTTACATGATTATTATTATTATTATTATTGTAAACCTCTTGTGATTTTTATGAAGTGGCTTTTAAAATAAATGCAAAATACCTATTGGGGGAGAAAAACCCAACTGTTGTTATTCTCTTTGAATTAACAGGTGACCGTTACATAGTTGTGGATGGGGGAGGAGGAACAGTTGATGTGACTGTGCACCAGATCAGGTTACCAGAAGGACACCTGAAGGAACTATACAAGGCAACAGGTAAAATAGATTCCTCACTCCTACTGTTTATAGAACATTTAATTTCTTCACTCTGAAAACAACTTGTTACAAGGTTTGCTGGAAGTCATGTAGTCTGTTCCAAAGAAACATATCTTTGCAGAAAAGCAAAAATTGGCATTGTGGTTCCTCAACTGCTTCAAGAAATGAAGAAGAAATTATACAGTGCATTGATTCTACTATATAATTTTGTCCCTCAGGTTCATTATGAGTTTTTCTGTGTTATTGAAATGAGAGTATCAGTTTATTCTAACGGGCATTTTAAATGAAGATACATAGGAACGGCTACATGTGTGTATATATTGTTCACTTGTGGTCTTCTTGACAAATGACACTTTCAAAGAACATGTAAATTATGTCGAGGGATGATCATTTTGGCTAGTCATGCACAACCTACTATACATGGCTTTTATACAGATGTTGCATTCTTCTCCCATGAATGAACAACCTGATGGTGCAAGGATGTCTCCCACGTAGATTTCTAGACGCAGCTTTGGGGGGATACATAGAGCTAGAACTCTGTCTCCTTGTGCACTGAGTATACAAAGGTAGCATGTTTGACCATGAACATTTTGATGGCAAAATGCTATATCCATAATTTTTCGCTGTATCATTTCTTAAATAATGTTTTCCATTAACAATATTTTATTTCTCATGCAGGAGGCCCATATGGTTCTTTAGGTGTAGACTATGAATTTGAAAAACTTCTGTGCAAAATATTTGGTGAAGATTTTATTGAACAATTTAAAATCAAGCGACCTGCTGCCTGGGTTGATCTGATGATAGCGTTTGAGTCTCGCAAGAGAGCAGCAGCTCCAGATCGGACAAATCCACTGAATATCACCCTGCCTTTTTCTTTCATTGACTACTACAAGAAGTTTCGAGGTCACAGTGTAGAACATGCCTTAAGGAAAAGCAAGTAAGTTAGAAATTAGTTAAGCTGTTCTGTGACTGTTTTTTCTGGAAATAAATCATATGGAATCACTGATACTTTTTTAAAAATAGATGTGCATAAGATTCACCATAGAACAATCCAGAACATTTCTTGTATTAGTTGCATGAATATGAATAATTAATCCAAGTTCAACTGGACAAATTGCTGACAATATGTGAAGAAACACTAGCATATAAACAGTTTTTTCTTCTTTTCCAGCATTAAGCTTGTAAAATTGCCAAACCGAAACCTCCCTCCTTAACTAGTCCATTACAAAAAGAAAACCAGAGCTTTTTCTATCCCTTCGTTAAAATTCCATTTTGTGAAATTGCTCCATTTATCATGATGATGTAGACTGTTTATCATAGCATTTGCTAATGTAAACAATCTTAAAAGTATATAAGAAGGATGTGGGAGGTTTTTTCCTTCTATTTGGAACAATCTCCCATTAATAAGTGATAGAAAGGATGGAGTACTATGCAGGTCAATGGCAGATCTTTAGAATGTTATCTTTAGAATTTTTTAAAAGCAACAAAGGCCTCTTCTAATAGGGTAAAAAATCTTGCTCTCTGCTACCAAAATATTTCTGTTTGCACAAAATATGACACTTGAATTTCACCAACCGGCTAGGCCTTATTGTCACATGCTGTTCTGATCCAAAAGACTCACCAACTCAGAAGCAGCTCTTGAGAAAGTGAGTGTCCTTCCTTGTGCAAACAGATGTGTGTTCTGCTAATGGAAAGCCTATACTCATCTTTAAAAGCATGTCCTTGCTGTGAATGACTTTTTGTCTGTAACAAGTGGCAATCAAATCAAGATAAGAAATTCTGCCTGCCTATTTTGCAGGGAGAAGGGATGTCAGACACAGAAAACAAGTTATATTTCAGTGGCAGAATAGGCAAGAGTTTCCTGCCAGTTTTAAACAATATTTCCCTTCTAAGGAGTGTTAAGTGTAGAGGTATACACAGGAATGTGGACTGGCCTTGCCTTAAGACTTTTCCATCTTGATGTTAAATGGAAAATGGGATTGCACAAGTGAGATTGATTCCTGACATGATAGAGCATTAACTGTTTGACCTCTGTCCCTAAAATCTTTGTTCCTACAGTGAGGCTGAAGTTGAAGAGTCAGAGCTGATGTACATCTTTGTACCCTGTTTCCCCGAAAATAAGACATCCCCTGATAATAAGTCCAACTGGGCTTTTGAGTGCAGGCGCTAAAATAAGCCGCCTCCTGAAAATAAGTCTTTCCTGAAAATATTTAAACCATGAGCTGGAAATCAGGTAAGACAGCAAGAGGAATCCCATCTTGCTCCACGCGCCCCAAAATAATAAGACCTCTCTGAAAATAAGGCCAAGCGCTTATTTTGGGGTTAAAAAAATATAAGACAGAGTCTTATTTTCGGAGAAAGACGGTACTAACCTTCTACATGTAGACTTAGGTCTTTTTCCCAAATGAAATATTGATCCATCTCTTCACATTCCCTCATTCCCTACAAAAAGTTCCAAGTAATTCTTAACCTGTACAATGTTGCCTCTGTTGACTTCATGCCTATTTTCAAGAAAGTTTCTTAGAACTAGGGTAGTTTTTTTAAAAAAAGTTGCTTTCTTTGTTTTTTCAGTGTGGATTTTGTGAAGTGGTCCTCCCAAGGAATGCTGAGAATGAGTCCTGATGCAATGAATGCCCTCTTCAAACCTACAATTGACCAAATTATAGAGCATCTCAGTAGGTATTAAGGGTGTATAAGGCTTTAAAACAGTCATTAAGAGTCAGAACATTCAGAATGTATAGAATTTATCTCTTCAGGACAATTAATCCAAAATGTTTATCATATTGCACTTTTTTTAGCAGTTGTTTAGTCTAAGTATATAAGTCCTATCATAATTTCCACTGAACATACAGCCTGAAAAATACAAATTCTATATGCCAGAAATAATTATTCTTGTTTAAAGATTATCATTTCTGTAGAATTATGGTTGAGATTATAAAGTTATATATGAAGAATGTTGCCCATTTTGATTTATTTACAGTCTCCCTTCCTGAACACCTATATACTGTATAACATCCTGATCCATAAGTATCTGTATATACCCTCATAGACATGCATATACCTGTGCCTAGTGTTTTTATCAAATTGTTCTCATGAGATAGATTCTTTTCTCACTGGGTCTTAGTAAATGCACTATTTTTCTCACCCCATGGATTTCTTTCTCTGCTCAGGTGAGATTTTTGAAAAACCTGAACTGACAAATGTCAAGTTCCTATTCCTTGTGGGTGGATTTGCAGAAGCCCCACTTCTACAACAAGCTGTCCAGAATGCTTTTGGTTCAAAATGCCGAATCATCATTCCTCAAGATGTGGGGCTTACCATCCTCAAAGGAGCAGTCCTCTTTGGTCTGGATCCTGCTGTCATTAAAGTGCGTCGTTCCCCCCTGACCTACGGGGTGGGAGTCCTGAATCGCTACGTGGAAGGGAAGCACCCTACTGAAAAGTTGCTAGTTAAAGATGGCACCCGTTGGTGCACCGATGTCTTCGACAAGTTTATCTCGGCTGACCAGTCCGTGGCGCTTGGGGAGACCGTGTCCCGCAGCTATACCCCTGCCAAGCCTTCTCAGCTGGTCATTGTGATCAACATCTACAGCTCGGAACACGATAATGTGAATTTCATCACTGAACCTGGAGTGAGGAAGTGTGGCACACTGCGCTTGGATCTCACAGGAAGTGAGAAATCCGTGCCAGGCCGGAGGGAAATTAAAACACTAATGCAGTTTGGAGACACTGAGATTAAAGCCATGGCAATTGATGTTGCCACTTCTAAAAGTGTAAAAGCTGGCATTGATTTCCTAAACTACTGATATTTTTTTTCTTTTCTTTTCCATGACCCTCACCACCTATTGTTTCAATGTTCTGTTCACTGGCTGCCAAAAACATCCTGCATTTTGGCTAGATAGATAAAGCATAGAAGAAGAAAGCATCAGGATTTTTGATTATTATTATTTTTTGCTCTTGAAATTACCTATTCAGAATCTGAACATAGTTATCAGGTGCTACACAGTAAAGTGAACAACCCAAATATGTAATGAAAATTAAGCGCTGAAATATTACTGCTCTATTTATTTGGGAGACATGTCTCTTTACTTGATGTCTTTCAAATGTTCTGAATTCTAGGGACTAATATAATCTAACCTGTTATTTCTACATTTAGGGTACTTTTTTTTTTGAACCACTAAAAGTGAAATTTATAACCATGATTTGTGGTTAACAGTTTCAAAGTAGAAATATCTTTTCAGCAATTTTAAAAGATAACCTCTCTTATTTATATGATGGAGAAGGAATACTGCAATTTAAGCATGTCAAAATGCAAATGAACAGCTGCTGCAAATCAGGATTAGAAATTGAGTCTTTGTAGCACAAAACTGTTACTTCTTTATAGGATCAAATGATGTGTTGGTGGGGGTTTGCTTCTGTTCAATGAAGTTTTAAGTTGGTAAATCTGTTAGAGCTGTAATCTTACTAAAGAAATGATCCAGTAGTAACATTTGTGGGAAATGCTGAAGCAAGAAGTATACTTAATTTCTAGATAATGCCAACACATTGGAACATTATCATTGTAGGAAAGGAATTCCTCCCCCCTGTGGAGAGAAGTGACACTGCACCTGAATAATTGGCCATTTATAGTTTTAAAAACATTCAATTACAATGTTCTGTCCAATTAATTAACACCAACTTTAATTTTGCAACACTGATGCTTGCATTTCCCTCTTTTTCAATATTGAATAGAAATGCTTCCCAAAGATTAAACCAATTCTGTAAATGAGAAAGTGTCTCCACTTCCCATTTTACTGTTGGCAACCTCTGGCTTTATTTATCTATACCTCTCTCAGCCAGTTCTTGTACAAAACAAAGGGTGTGTGGTAGCAATAGTTAACCAGAGATCATCTCTATCCTCAGGTTGTAGAGCGAAAGAATCCATTTTCATTGTCTTTCTCAGCCATGCCAAACAAAGGAAAAACTTCCTGTGTTGATCCTAGAGAGTGGTATCTCATACAAGAAAAGTGATAACATTTTCCTGGGGCCAACTTAATTATTTGATAAAATAATTTATATAAATATAACTCCATAGAAGTTACTCAACGTTTCATTAAGAAAATAATATTAAATTCACAACTAGGCACAATGTCAGTTATATACCAATCCCTGCAGAATCAGATGCTCTCCCTACATCTTCCCTTTGGAATAACTGCATAAACCAGGGGTGTCAAACCTGCTTGCACCGCGGGCCGTATTGTGGTGTATCACAACGTTTTTGCCTTTGTGGAGCCGGGGTGGGTGTGGCCTGCACAAGCTGTATCTGACCTATGGGCCGCCAGTTTGACAGGCCTGGCATAAACTGATGTTCAAGAAGTTGAATGTTCCTTGAAGGAAATGTACTGTCTTCAATTTAGCTCCTTGTGAGCTTCTTCCATTCTGTGACCAATAGCCTGACTTTAGCAATAGGCTCCAGGAAAAGTAACTTCTTGGCAGAGAAAAAGAAAACCCTGCAAAAAAGTAGTTGAGCTGTGTTATTTCTGACCAGAAGAGGGAGTACAGACATTATTTCTGAGATCACTTAAATGGCTTCCAAGGGACACAACAATACATTCAACCTGAGTGAAGCTTTAATTGACTTATGTCCAAGAAGGGAGAATGAAACATCAATCTTCACATAGAAACTGACTAAAACTCTAGTGCCATCTTGTCCAAACTGGTGTCATCCAGTAGTGTTGACCTGTAAATCCCAGAATTCCCAGGCAAGATAATCAGCAGCCATGTTGTATAGGATTTCTGGAAGCTACAATGTCAAAACTCCCTGAAAGCACTACATTGTGGAAGATCCCTAGCAACAGGGGGTTGCCTCTGCTCAGTCTGTCAAAAACTGCCTATGCCATGGACAAATCTTTGATGTGACTAGATGATTTGATGAAAATACACTGCCAGCCTAGTGTGTCTTTCTAGGCTAACAACTTACAATATGAAGCTGCTTCCAGTTGAGCACTACAATTCAGGGCTTGATAGGTAGCTAATTCCAACATGTTGGATTTGAGGCCAAATTCATGACAGCAGAAGGGTCTGTTTTGTCAGCTGGAAGCTGACACTTCCCCCCCCTCACAACACTGAGAAAACACATAGTCATCCACTGAAATCCATTATGCTTTCAAGATGTCTGAAAGCTAATTGTTTAGCTGGATCTTTTTTCCTATTAGCTATGCATGAACGAAAAGCCATAGAATCATTTTTTTCCCCTCTCAAAATCTCAGATTTCTTATTAAACACATAATTTAGGGACAAACTTTGCATCATACAAACACTTTGATTTTCTAGGAAGAATTAAGGTCCATTTTTGCATTATATCTTATAAATATTTCCTGATAGAATGAAAATAAGCTTTGATTTACTATCAGAGGAGTAGATTGGGTCATTTTAATGACATCTAAACTTTTTCCTCCAATAATTATTCCCTTGGAATAATTATAAAGTATGCATGCTGGCATTTCTTCTTTCATCCTGACTGCTGCGTTTTTAAAAGGCATATTTTTTCCCTGTATGAGTGAATGAATGCCTTTCTGTAGCTTTCAAATAAGCAACTCCATGGAATGAGCTATGAACAAGAATTATTTGATGTATATACAATATTTAAATATTGTACAGATGTTTTCTTTCTGAAAGTGGTATTTTCTTGTACAGAATGATCTTTATCCCTGTTGATTTGCATCAGTGTTTAATTTTAAATAATATAGTTTCTTCTGTGACTTCAGTAATTACAGGCTTTTAAAGATGACAAGAGATGTAATGCACAAAGATGATCTTATAATAAGGGGAGTGGAGTGTCAGGATGTCAGACAGTACCACATTATTCTCCGTGCTACGCAAATAATAGCTTACAGACACAGTGCTGGATTTTTCATTATTTTTGCTTTAACAGGTACAGGCTGCCTTAATGCTATGCATCTGTGTTCTGCTTTGGATAATACCTACTCTATATAGAAAGTAGATGATCAGTTACCACATTTTCACACCAAATGAACTCGTTTCAAGGCATACATTTTATTTTAGTTATGTCTCTTCTGCCAGACAAAAACTGAACCACAATGAAGCATCAGGAAGGAAGGGCCCCCAGCAATGGCAGATGAGTTGAAGTTAGTACAAGCCGGTACCATCCTCTGATTACAGAAATATATCAAGCTAAGTCAGGAATCGGCTCAATATAAAATCACACATTGGATACTTTAATGCCTGGATAAGCCTCAAATGAGTGTTTCTCAATCTTGGCAAGTTTATGACAGGTGGACTTCCATCGCCCAGAATTCCCCAGGTAGCAAGCATGGGAATTGAAGTGCACCCGTCAAACTTGGCCAAGGTTGAGAAACACTGCAATAGAACCAATGGTACTTTTTCTGTATTATGAAATCTATATCCCAAATTGTGGAAACACAATTGTTGACTGAGTCACACAATTTCACTGTAACCGTACAGTGTACATACTTCCGTGTTTTCCCCAAAATATTTTTTTGAACCCTGAAATAAGTGCTTGGCCTTATTGCCATGTACTCAAAAGCCTGATTGGACTTATTATCAGGGGATGTCTTATTTTGGGGAAAACAGGGAACATTTCATTTTTTTCTCCTACTCCCATGACTATCTACTTGCTACATCATCATAACCTCAATAGAATGCTGGTTTATGACTTAGAATTAACATAAGGGCAGAAATGATTAAAAAGTGCCACAAGTGCTTGCTGTTCATTACTGTGGCTTTAAAAGTCATAACTTTCATGAGTGATTCTTTGAAGCTGTAACCTCCCCCCCCCCAGCAGAAGCTGAAAAGGTCAGACTACTTCAAGCAATAGCAAAAAATGGCACTGGCAGGAGGTGTGAAACATTTATTTCCTTTTCAAAGTGCAGGACCCTCTTTCATAATGGAGATACAAATTTTAACCCAATACTGCACTTCAGAAATAAGCCCCCAACCCAGCAGGGCTTACTCCTGGGAAAATGGTTTTAGAACTACAGTGCTTATGACTTGTATCAGAAAAACTGGATGCAACTACGTAATTTCCATCAGCCTACTTCAGAGCAGGTTTGTTGCAGGAAGGAAAAGTTTAGGGATGTCTAAACTATCAGCACTTTTTCCCTCAAGCTGTTGAATTGTCAGCTTGTGTGAGGAAGAAATTTCAGTCACTTCAGATCCTTCTTGCTTATTCTTTTCTTTGCACAAATGCCGTCTTGTTCTGACTTTGAGGAAGGCTGATTAGAATCACTTTCCAATCTGAATTGTTTTTCAAAGCCATAGGTTTATCAATCCACTTTTGACAAATTCATTTCCCCCTTTTACATAGCAAACCAAATTTAAAATGGATTCCTGCAACAACACCCCTTCCTTTCCAGCATATATTTATTGAAATATCCTCATTTGATTTTAGATTACTTTTCAAAGAGTTATATTTCTGGTACAGAAAGCTTGATAGGAGCAAGGTTTATTTTTGTTATAAACTTTTATTTTCCCTAAACAAAAGTGCATGCATAGCAAGCATCTGTACTCCTCTGTCTTCATGAATCAAGCTATCAACAAATTAGCTACTATTCCAGGTCTAAAGTACTATATTCCTACATTATTGAGAAGCCACATACTTGTGATGCAAGGTGTTAACGTGTCGCTTGCGGGAGGCCAGAGGTCCTTTAATTTCTGCATAAAGATTTGTTCCTTTTTAAAAAATGGATTACAATAATCTTAAAGTTAACCAGTTGTTTAGCAGTGCAGAGCTTACATGAAAATATTGCCTTTGGATGGAGAGACATGTAAGATTCTGAACTGATTAATGCCTCAATGTGCTTTGTTTCATATGCCTGCAGCCAATGAAGGGAGATAACTCGTGGAGGGCTGCTATGCTTGCAAGATATATAGTATAGCCAACAAACCACTTCAGCTATAATCCTGCCAACAGAAGTACAAATATATTGGCTGATTTGCTCTTTTGGGGCTTGTGCTACTTTTAGTTATATATATATATATATAAAGCTTTCGACAGTTTTTAGAATATATATACACATGGATACACAAACAAATATAGAATGCCACTGATATAAGATTCAGGTTTTGGGAAAATAATTTTCTTCCCTGCTGTCACCTCCGCCCTAAACTGAACATAATTTTGCTGGATGTTCTCTCTGCCACTCAGGTTCCACCCTCCCCTTCCTAAAATAATAGTGGAAATAGGATAGATGTTTAATGGAACAGTTTAGAAATAGAATATGTAATCCTGTGACAACTTCAGGCTTTATTATGAAGCACTAGGTTACACTTAAAATAAATGGTAAATAAATACTTATTTATAGGTAGAATTTATCCTGTCTTAAGTTGGTAGAAACCACCAAAATGCAAGTAGGAAATTGGAAGTTTCCAAATTATAAACTCTTATCTACCATCTGCTGCAGTAATGGGTTTCAATTTCGTTCGCGACTGGTTTGGTTGTGGGTGCGCGCGTGATACTTCTGCGCATGCACAGAGATGTCCTGGTGGAACCTCCCGCCACCACTGCTACCAGTTAGCCTGATCCGGGCCAAACCGGTAGCAACCCACCACTGATCTGTTGGTTTCTTGCAAATGGACAAGATGTTGACTGTGTGAAAAGACACAGGTTCAAGTCCACTCTAAGCCACAGAAATGTGTGGGTAACTTTGGGCCAAATGCTTTCTTAACAGTCCAGCTGATCTCATGGAGTTGTTGTCAGGAGGGAGAAAAATGGAGTCTCAAGTGCACCACTTTGAGTTCCTGGAGAAAAGGCAGGATATAAGAAGAAACATAAATGAAGTTATTTAGTAAAATAATTTAATAAAAATGTTGTAAAAGGAAGGCTTGTTCTACTGATAAAATCTTCACCCTGAACAGCAACATTTCTCTGTTTTCAGTAGAAGTTTCTGTTAAGGCAAAATCTTAAGAAATCTGGAAACTAGAAAACTTGTCAATCAAATCTGGGCTTGCTAAAAGAGATCTCTGCTATTTGGATAAGCAAATATATCAATATGTTACAAGATCTACTTTTCAAACAAGGATTGTGTAATAATTATGGCAAATTGCAATATTTATGGGGAAAAAAAATCCAGGTACTTGTAGGTTGTGGAGCATAAGGCCAATATATACATCTATGCTTGGATAGCTTCTAAAAGTTTATAAAAACAATCTGGTCCGTGTGATTTCATTGACTGCCTGCCTTGTTCCAGATTCTTAAATACCACTAAATTCTGAAGATTAGAGTTTATTACATTTACATCTGAAAACTGCTGTTCAAAATTTCAAATAAATTAGTAAATCATGTTGGAAGTCATGTTTTGTGTTATTTTTAAGGCTTCTTGTGTAAAAGTTATTTTCTGTTCAGTGGAGTTTACAATATTCTTTAAGCTTGCCAGTATTTTCAGATACTTTTCACTGTTTTGCTTTGTCTAATGTTTCATTACTACATATTTGCAACTGGATATTCCAAATTTATTTTTGAAATATACTAAACACTGTGAAATAACCTTACATAAGATACAAAAGGGGGAAAAAAGCCCACGCTGAATCCAGAATCAAAGCCTATGGCTCTTCCTTAGTATTTTTGCTCTCCAGAGGACTTCCCTTGGAAATTCTCATTTCTTCTAATAATATCCAACATTCCTGAAAATTACATTTTTTTTTCAAATTAGAGCGGCAAAATCCAACATGCTTACTCTGAAGTAATCACCATGTTTAATGGTCCTTGCTACCAATAAGCAACACCCTACAATCATGATCTTTCCAAATAAAGGTGGACTTCATGCCGACCATGAATCGTGGCTCTAAAATCCCATCAGCCTGATAGTGTCACGTCCAATATATATACTCTCGTGCGGAACTACTATATTCTTGAAAAAAACCTGAATCCTTCCCGTTTCAGTTTTTAGTGAAAGGTTGCCTTAATCTAGATCTGGGATGCAATTTAGTTTACCGGAGTAATATTTGGGAAACTCCAGATTCAAATTGGCAACTAAATACGTCTGCGAAAGACAATATTCCCATTTTCCTCCTTGCTTAGGATCAGGGTCGTTGGAGCATCAAAGGCAAGCGGTTGATTTGAAAAATTGACCACCAACGAAAAGAAGCGCATTTCTTCCTATTTCTTCCTGCCCGATCCCTTTACTCGCACCCCCTACTACGGCTACGCTGCCTGTTCCCGAGTATTATTAAACTCCGGAAGTCTCCCTCCCACCGGTTGTAAAGTTCATGCAGGCTGAGGTCATAATGCCGTGGGATGGTGGCCGGCTATCTTGACCTCTTCTGGGAGGGGCGGGAGAGACTCTGCGGAGAGCGGCGTGGTTGGCAGAGATTCATACTATCGTGGTAAACTCCTCATTCCTCGCGGGTTCCTTGCAAAATTGAAACGGGGGGGGAGGGGGAGGATCCCACTACCGCTTTCCCGCTCACAACACTTCTTAACGGAAGGCGTTTGGTTGTTTCGCTTTCTCTGACCGCTTTTTCTTTCTCTGACTCGCAAGTTTGCTTTTGCGGGAATGCGCTTCTTAGAGAGTAGACCTCTTATTATTTTTAATTTATTATTTTTTTTCTCTCACCGTTTCTCTCTCTTCTGATATTCCGCATTAAGAAAGTTATGGGAAAGCCGTAAAAGCCAACGAAAGCTGGGCAATTGGAAGCTGACGGGCTTCTATTGGGAGAGATGGGTGATTGTAGGTGGTCTGAAGAGTTCTATTGGTTTTTAGAATGGTGAGCTCGAGGAGAGTTTGCTTACTAGAAGCCATGTTACAACCCTTTAGTTAACACTGTGTGGCACATTTAAAGGCAGGAAAGGACTACCAGATACGAACGAACCCTGGAAAGTTGGGTTGTTGTTTTGTGGGCTGATTTTGGATAGCTCCTAAGCTCACCCAAAGGTAATTTTTCAGGAGGCAACTGAACTTTCTTGTTTTTTTCTTTTGAAGACGTTTCGCTTCTCATGCAAGAAGCTTCTTCAGCTCTGACAGGATAGTGGGGAATGAAAGTATTCCCAACATGGAAGAAATTTTACAGCGAAACTTTTTCTTTTTCTTCAAGAGAAAAAACAAGAAAGTCCAGTTGCCTCTTGAAAAAGCACCTTTGGGACAACCAAGAGCCTTGGTGGCGCAGCAGACTAAAGTGCTACTAAGTAGCATCAGCTGCCTGCAATTACTGCAAGTTCAAATCTCACCAGGCTCAAGGTTGAAATCAGCCTTCCATCCTTTCGAGGTAGGTAAAATGAGGACCCGGATTGTGGGGGCAATAAGCTGACTTTGCATAAAAAAGAACACCGCTTGGGGGCCCCGAAATCCCTACTAAAGTATGAAGGCTATTGCTTAACGCATTGTAAGCTGCCCTGAGTCTCCGGAGAAGGGCGGCATATAAACCGAACCAATAAATAAATAATAAATAAATAAACCATGACCTGGATAACTGAGAATCTCTACAGACTCCTAAACTAACCTTGGCTGCTCTTATAAGCTTAATCCTTAAGAGATCTGTGTTTGCTTGGATGAAGAAAAAATAAATAAATCCAGCTCTTTAGAAATCCCAGGGCTGTTGGTTTCACTGGACAGTTGAAAAATAAATGTCCTATAAAAAGGCAAAATCACTTCTGTTGTGCTGCCAAAAAAAGCAACATGGATGTAGTCAACAGGAATAGAGCTTGACTTGAGGGTCCCCGTGTCCTTAAGAAATTGCACAAACACTTCTTTTATAGAAAGGATAGTAGGTCCTTGTTACCATCGTTCTAGGGAGGGTTTTCTTATCCCTGACATTTGCCGTCCTTCCTGAACTGTTTTGAATCTGCTTTGGAAGGCTTATTTCTCATAATTGGTGCCTATATCCATGGAGATGGTCTTCATGACATTAAGATACAGAAGTGATTGAAGAGTTTGACAAACTGGAAGGTAATATATTTTAAGTAAACTGGCCTTAGTGGAATTAAAGTATGGATGCCACACTGAGCATTTGCTTTCTGTCATCGTAGCTGGAAAAAGCATGACAGCATTTCGGCGGCAAGTAGATGAATATCATCCGTTGATACCAGGATACACAGGTAAAAAATTTACATCTTTGGCCACTTCCGGCCACTAAACATAAAGAGGAAGCCAATGATCAACTTTCTCAGCTCGATCGCTTTGTTACTGTTTAATATATTGGTGTACCAATAACAAACAAGATTATAATTTTTATTAGCATTCTAAAGCTAAAAAGAAAGCCACACATTGTGGAAAGGATGTTATGTTTAACCAGTGGCACTTTATCTATATACGACAAAGTCTTGTGCCTTATAACCTTCAACTGGGCAAAAGAGTCTATCGAAAGGCAAAACTTTTTCAACTAAGGTACCAGAAAAATGGCTAATTTACAGAATGTATCCAAAATATGGGAGCCATGACTTGAATTGAAATTTGGCAAATGTTATAAAATATTTGTGACAGAATTATCATAAGGTATTTTATGACATAATACAAAATGTCATAAAACATTTCCTGTGGTTAACTGCTGAAGTTGACTGTGCTCTACAGTTCAACATGAAATACTTTCAAGGCAAGCTATATCTCTGGATATCTCCCTGAATTTTTAAGAACTGTTCCGGTACAGCTAGTCCTAGACCACAATTGAGCCCAAAATTTCTGTTGTTAAGTCAGACATTTGTTAAGTGAATTTTGCCCCATTTTACGACCTTTCTTACCAGTTGTTGAGTGAATCACTGTAGTTCAAAGGTGGGTTTCAGCAGGTTCTGACCAGTTCTAGAGAACCGGTAGTGGAAAATTTGAGTAGTTCAGAGAACCAATAAATACCATCTCTGATTGGCCCCGTCCCAGTGGTGGGTTCCTCCCAGTTCTGCCCGGTTCCGCCGAGCCGGTAGCGGTGATGATATGAAATAACGATATGAGATAGCAAAGCTGGCTGGGGAATTCTGGGAGTTGAAGTCCTCCAGACTTAAAGTTGCCAAGGTTGGAGACCCCTGCTCTAGCCAATTTGGTAATCTGGCACTCTAATTTGCAATTGAATATGTTCCTTCTGGATTAAAATTAGGTTCCATCCCCCATCTATACCCAGAGTTATTTAAATGCTCAGGTTGTAGATGAATCAATTTCTGGAAAGAAATAGTAAAGATAGCAGTGCCTAAATTGCTGCGTTCCAGATGAATTAACCTTCTGTATCCCAGGATTCATAATCACCCCAACCTGCAATTATTGTAGAGGAGTGTTACTATTTATGGAGCTAATATCGTCTGGATACCATCAATATTACATTCTTCTTTGCCGTCTTTCTTTGCTGACAGTTTCATTTGAAGTTTCAAGGTTTAACTCCTTTTTCATTTTCATATCTCAAATATAGAAAGTCCCATCTTCCTTTCTGTAGCTCCATTTTAAGGACCTCCTGTTGTCAATCCACCTTGCCCCTAAGTAAAGGTCCTGTAACATTTGTAGGACAGCTTTGAATACTCAGTGGCATGCACCAGACTTTAATCTTTGCCTTGTGCTAGGAATAATAATTTATGTTATGGGGATGGGTGGGAGAAATATAATGATCAAATGTTATGAATATAATCGCCTGGCAAGAGATGGCAAAATAATATAATTTTGAAAGATATAGCCCCAGAGCTAAACATTCTGTATTATAACCCAACAAATGATCTATCATTAGATTAACTAATTAGGTTAACTAATAGGGTTATAATGAAGTAGCTGCTTCCAAGGGTACAAACTCCTTAAATAGGATGGATGGCCATTGGTTGGTTAGGGAAGCAATAGTACAAGAATTTTGCTTTAAGTGTTGGATTAGATTAGGGGTCTCAAACTCGTGGCATCATGTGATGTATCGGGATTTCCCCCCCTTCACTAAACTGGGCAGGAGTGGGGCCAGCATGTGTCGCAACCGGCCTGCGGGCAGTGAGTTTGACACCCCTGGATTAGATCATTGATTCCAAGCTTTAATATGTAGGAATTCTGGGAATTGAAGTCTTAAAAGTTGTCGAGTTTGGAGACCCCTGTCCTAGATATATAAACATGAAAAGTCCAGGCTATCCTATTTTGAAGGTTTCTGAATGGCGCCTGACTACATTTCTTTGCTTTTTCTAGGATACATCCCTCTCCGATTCTATCGTGTTGGAACTAGCTTTGGAAATGATTCTGTGTGGTGTGTTAATACCTTTCGTGATATTACAGACAGAAATAATGACCAGGAAGCTGAACTGAGGCATACAGCAGCCACCGCGCCACAGCTACCACCTATTTCCACTAATGAAGAAATGTTAAATATACTTGATGACTATAATTGCAAACATCATCCAAATGTGATGGGTACAGTATGCATCATTTATAATAATTTGAATGTATTTAATTCCCTTTAATTGCCATTGCACTCTAGCATTATTGACAAATAATTGCATCTTTAGTTGTTTTGATTATTGAGTACAGCAGAATCCAGATTATTTGGTTTTTTGTGGAAATGGGCAAAAGGCTGTTGGGAGTCTGTTAAAGGACTTCTCTCTGAAAAACTTCTAGCATAGCTTATGTTTAGATTTGCAAACAGATCTGGCAGTATTGAATATTTAAGATGTGATATAATTCAAGCAAGTCACAGTAAAAGTAAATAATATATAATAAGTTTGGACCAAAACAATATTTAAATAGGAGTGAAACATGAACTCAATGATTTTAAAATTATTGTCACTTGAAGAGTGAGGTCAAACAGGAGAAGAAATATTCTCATTTTAAAAATAGGCTAACCCTTAGAAGATGCAACTTGGTAGAAGTAAAAAAGCTAAAAAAATAAAAAAGCAGAATAAACTTCCATAGTATTTGAGTTAATCTGCAAAATACAGATTAGGCATTCTCTGGGCATATTTGATTCAGTTGTATTTTGTGATTTGGACACCTAGAGTCTTCAAGACTTACAAGTCAGTCTAAATTCTGAAAAGCATAACCATGCCAAATGGAATATTTCTTGTACTAGGAATGAATAAAGTAATCTTGACTTTGCAATAAAAGATGAAGAATAGGATGCAAAGCTGGCTGGGGAATTCTGGGAGTTGAAGTCCGCCAGGCTTAAAGTTGCCAAGGTTGGAGACCTCTGATCTACTCTGTATCTGATCGGCATATTCTCAGTATATAATAGATTGATTATCTTTCCCAAAGTACTCATATTTTCCAAACTGTTGCATTTCTGGTTTCTTTCTAGGAGAGCATG